CCAATAGCATTCTAGCTTCCTTTAAATTCTCACATACATTTTATTTTCAATTTTAACTTGTGTATTCTCATTCCACCTCCCCATCCATGAAATTAAACTATTATAAAATCAGAATATAATTTCATATTGTTCAAATTTAACCCCATTTTAAAATTAGGTCCAATTAATCTAGTTCATTTTTGATATGTATAAACAACAGAACTACTTTCAAACATATCCAATGGTTCTGAATACAAACCAGCCATTTTCAGGTAACTCCAACTCCAGCAGCACTAAACTAGAAGAAATTGTTTTGGGTTGTCTGAAAAGTTCATGCTGATTTTTAAGGGAAATTAAAAAACAAAATTATGCCATTAAATATTTATTCAACTAAATATTAACCATTTTGTTGCACAACCTTTCTCCATTTTTCCTTCAACTTAAATATTCCCTTTCCCAAAATTTTGGTTGTTTCTCAGCAAAGAACGCATTAAGGTGTTTTTTTATGTCATCCAAAGAATTAAAAAATTTTACCATTTGGATTATTTCACAAGGACCTGAATAAATAAAAATCTGAAGGAGCAATGACTGAATATCGTGGGTGGGGTAACAAGTACAGGATTCCTTTCCAATGTCACCAGATGCACAGCATAACTTTCTTAGGATGGAGACCTGCTTTTGAGGTGGCTAAAGTTGTCTCATATCGCTTACCCAAGGGTCTTTTTTGCTGAACATTGTTGTAAATGATCTATTTCTCATCACCTGTCATAATTTGCTTAAAAAAGGGTGCATTTTCATAGCATTTGTATAGAAAATCACAGATGAAATGTGATCCAAAAGATTCTTTTCACTCAGATCATGTGGTACCCAAAGATTGTAGTGATTTAGGTACTCAAGCAGATAGTGGATTTTGATAAATTTAGTGTTTCTGCCAATTCCCCCATTGTGTAATGTAGTTTATTCTCAATCAGTCTATTCATTTGGTCATCATCTGTTTAGTGTGTGTGTGTGTGGGTGGGGGGGTGTCAGTCTGCCTGAGCTTCCTTCATCAATAAGGCTACAATCACCAACAGTAAACTTAGCAAACCACTTCCATACAGTTCTGTCAGCTAAAGCACCTTCACCATACATAGCACATATCTTTTTTTGTTGCTTGCAAGGCATTTTTGCCTTTATGGCAAAAAGAAAAAAGCATCAAGTATCTAAAATGTACCTTATAATCTTCCATTTTCATAGGGATGCAAAATTGACACGAATTAAGTAATTTTAAACTTTTTTCCTGAAGTTATAGTTTGAAGTGTGTTCTAATTGGAAATGTAAGCATATTATATCTGTTGATAAATTTAACATGTTCTAACGTGTTGGAACATGAACAACTAAACATTGGCATGAACTTTTTGAACAACCCAATAATAATTGAAAGAAAAGTTCATATTTATCAGCAGAATAAATTTATCAGTTGAAGGCAAATATTTTAGTCTTTTTCAATTATATTGTAGGAATGTTCAATAAATGATTAAACAACAGGGTTTTGAACTTCTATAATCAATAAATCAAAAATTGATGTTAGGTCAATGTTTCCTGGAAATGTTAATTGTATCTTCAACAATAGCCAGATTTTTATAGATTATGTTTGGTATTTCCACATGATTATACTTTAAACTGCAAGTGAATTTGTTTAGTTATGATTGATTATGCAGTAATGCTAAAGACAATCTCTTGTAGAGCGTTCATTTTTTTTTTTTTTCTCAAAATATTTGCTTTACATATTTAGAAACATGCAGTAATAAATAGGAAGATTTTACTTTTATTTGCCATTCATTTCTTTTTCCAATGCAAACAAATTTATTGCATAAATGTAACACATTTTAATTTATGAACATTCTATTTCTTAAACTTACATTTACTGTCACAAGCTTGCTATTTTTACCTCCCTCACTTTGGCATGACAAAAACAGTGGCTAGTATGGAATTTTTGTCTGGTTATTAATAACACCTAAATAATATTTATATTTTATGTTTTTTTCTTACATTTTGTAAATAAGAATATCCACCTTTTGTTTTAACAGATACATGATTCTACAAAAAGATGAACTAAAATATTTGTTAAAAACTCATACAGCAATTTTCTTTTGTTTCTTCAAGATAATTTACAGCATGGCATTTTTTATGACAGGTGACACTAGAAAATTTTAATTTCTTTTTATCAATCTTTTTTTTTTTGAGATCTATAAAAGCATTCTTTTGTTCATATATGCCAAAAACCTTGTTAGAATTTCTTTAATTAAATCTTACTTAGACTCTAAAATGTTTATAAAATATACTTATATATATAATTTACATCCCATTTCGTTGTATTCATTTTATATTGTTTTTGTTTTTGCACTGTTAAATTTGTTTCTTTTAAAGAAGCATTTAATTCGTTTTCCTATAACTAAAAATATAAAGTGGAATTTTTTATTTTAATTTGAACTTTTCTGATGAAATACATTCAAAAACATTTTTAATTTACTTTTTTGACAATTTGAAATATACTCTATTGGAATATTAATATTTGATAAGAATGGGTAAATTTGAGTCTAAGGTGCTGCTATATATGATGACTGTTAACTTAGAAATAATAAATGTATTTTTGTGAACACAAGATATTAACATATAAATTAAGACCATTATTGCAACGACAGTTTACATCACTTTTACACTAAATCATACATGTCCATCACAAAAATGCATTTATTTTATTCAAATTATATAAAATAAAATATAAATTACTATCTACAAATTAAAATATTCTACAAAATTAAAAATAAATATGAATTGTTACAGATAAAAAAAAATTGAATAGTATAAATAAAATCAGCAGCATTAATAGAATCTTTCCAGAGCCTTGATATGTTTTTGGTATGTTAACCAGATTTCACAAAAGTGAAGACAAGAGATTACCCATGCTGTATAAACAAAAACCTTAGTATTGTCTTTAATGACTCTGACCTTTCAGATTTTAAAATGTCTATCAGAATAGCAAAAGTCTTTGTTTTGGCAACAAATATCCTGAGGTTGAATAATTTACATGTGTTTGTATATGGCACATGCATTCCATGGCTGTATCCTTAAATACATTTTCCATGACAACAGAGAAAATGAGTGTTGGCCAAAGAATATCTCCCTGCTTGACATCATTTGTATGTGTGGTATGTTTGTATAATGTGTAATAAAACTTGTAAATCCAGTCTAAGTCTGTAAAGACACATGAAAATCCATGAGGATGATGTTACTTAATTTGATCCAATAAATCCTGTCAAGATGACCTCTTTTTGCTTCAAGTTGTGCAAATCCTTTACTTGACAGCCTTTTAAAGCCCATGCTCACTTACAAGTTGACAACTAATTCATTTATGCACAATTAATGAGACTGCAATCATCATCACCATCACACAGACACACACACTGATTAATTGTTCAGTTTCTCTCTCACACACACACACGCACACACACATATTGGGTGGGTAGAAGGGGAATAAAAGCCATATTGAAGTTTCACAAACTAACATTCTTTACAAAGTTTATTTTTGTCTATATCTCAAAGATGAGGTATTATGATTACTTACATTATTCGGACTGTTGTCCTCATCTTCATTGCCATGTTCACAACGTTTCAGCTGTTGTATGCTTCAGCCTTCTTCAAGTGATTGTAATTTTAAACCAAGCATGTTATTTCGTTCACCGGGGGTAGATTGTTCTAGTTCCATGTGCCATGTCTCTTCTAGATGTCTCAGTTATTTCCCTTTAACTCAACACTCCAAGTTTTGATTCACCACTGAACCAAAGAGTTGTGAGTTCAATACCTGGCTACAGCAGTGGTGAACCAAAACTTGAAGAGTTGAGTTAAAGGGAAATAACAGAGACGTCCAGAAGAGGCATGGCATGTGGAACTAGAACAATCTACCCCAGTAGATGAAATAAAGGGTTCAGTTCGAAATTCCAATCACCTGAAGAAGGCCAGAGTGTACAATGGCTGAAGCGTTGTGAATATGATAATGAAGATGAGGATAACAATTTTATTATTAAGAAGTAAAGAAAATTAATTGTTCAGAAGTGTGGCAGGCTTGATGTGTTCCTCCAGTCAATTGACTATTGCTATGCTGAGAAATATTGAAATATTCTGAATAATCTTAGTAGTTGTATGGAAATAAAACAACCATGTTTCATAAAAAATGCTTGCAAAAACCATCATTTTACATATTCAAAATTTCTTAAATTCAATATATAAATTTCTTTCTCATCTATTTTTATTTTATATTTGTATTGTTTAAAGATACATTGAAAATTTTATTTTAATCCTGTTTTTTCTCCTGTCATTTTTAAATGTCGTGTGATATAAAATTTGGTAAATTATGATGCTGTTATTATCTATTCAAAATTAACGCAGCTTTCACTATAAAGGCTAATGAATTTAGTCTATTACTTGTAACAATAAATAGATTGGCTTTTGTGGTAAAAGTATCTGATATTTATAAGTCACAATATTTACCTTATATGATGTAATATGATTATAAGATGTATATGATAAACTACTAAATAATTGATAAAAATTATTAAACCATTAGGCTACCTTCTATAAAAATCTATTCTCTCAACAAGATTGTCTTGTTATATTTGATACAAATAAATTTTATTTAAAAATGATCTATTAAATTCAATTGAAGTAAACATTGAAATGAAGTAATTTAACAAATTTTATATTATATTTATGTAGCCTTTTCATATTTATAATTTGGGTGAGTAAATTCTGAAAATATTTTGAAAATAAAAGAATATTAAAATCTCTTTAAAATTTTTGCTCTTAATTTTTCAAGCATTGATGTTGCATTTCAAATGAAATGATTTTATGATAGTTTGATTTTCAGTGTTTCAACAAACACTAAATTATACTTTTTTCTTTCTGTATGCATCTAAAAATGTAGAATTAACTAGTCAGGAATTTTTTTGTGGAAAAATTCATATTGTTAAATATTATTTCAGGAGGAAAGTTGGTGGTGTTACCAATGGTGATGAGAAAGAAGAGACTTCTGCTGAGTCTACATCATCCATCCAATCTGCAGTAAAAGAGGAGGAGGTGGAAGAGGCAGAAATCAATGTAAGTTTCTCTAGATTTTTAAGACATAATATATAACCAGAATAAAACAAAAGGGTAAAGATTTGTTTATTTAGCTCTACATGTTTTATTTTCTTTTTACTTTTAAGTTTAATTGGTTTTATTTTAAATCGGGCATTTATTGAATTAATTTTTAAATCAGGTGTAAAAACCATTCTTTTTATCAAATAGACCTGTATCTTTTATATGCAGTTTTATTCATGTTTCAATTTTGTATAATTTTTTTTTCTTTTTTTTTACCCCCACAAAAAGTAATTTGTTGCATGTCAGGATGTTACTTATTTCATGTAGTGATTTGGAATTGCTTAAATGTTCTTATTGTAAATTTGATGTTTCTTACTAGTACATCTCTGTTGATATATTAATAAACTTTATTGTATCTACTGTGTATTAATACTTAGGCTTTAGTCAAATTTTGTTCTCTTGTACATATTTATGTAAAAACTATATTCTTGGGTCACTTTTTTTCATAAAAGTTAAGTTCAAAAGTATCTAGCCTCCAAATATTTTCTTATAGTAACCTATACATAAATGATATTTGCTATTGGTGAAGATGCTGCATAGATCCTCAGTGATGTGTTTAACATCTTAGATTATTCTCTAAAGGATACTTTTTATATATAGTGTTGCATATTCTCAGTTGATTACTCATTTGGTACAATTGTGCTGAATTTCAAAAGAACTTGTTGCTGTAATATGTCATTTTTGTTTTCACATTCTTGACTTATGTCAGCCTTTTTGATATGGTGTTGAACAAAGCTCCTCTGAAAATTGTACAGATGTATAAAATATAAAAAAAAACAAAAAATAATATTGAATACAAATGCAAATTTCGTATGTTGCTTTTCTTCAAAGTTGTATTCATATTTGTTTTGGAAATAAAATGGTTTGAAATTTTCAGTATATCATTATTTGATACTTGAAGTACTTTTTTAAAGACAACTGTCACTATACATAATAAGATTACCTGTATTCAAGGAAATAAGGCAGGTTTAATGCTACGAGAGAATGCTGAAAAGTTCTTAGATCAATCAAAAGGGATTAAAAAAAGAATAATCTGTTTGGCCATATGTTAGATGAGCAGAGAACTTTTCAGCACCACCTAGTATAATCTTTTTCAGGTTTTTGTTTTTATTTTTTCCCCTTTTTAAGTTTAGGTAAATGCACACTAGGGTAGGTCGATTTTGGAACTGTAAAAAGAATAACTCGAAAGTTGCAAAATAACGTCAAAAATTACCACAAAAAATATTTTTCTTCAAAACTTCATATTTATTTGAGCAATCAAACTTAAAGACAAAATAAATTGCGATTTTTATCATCATAACGGTGTCATCGGAGACCTGTGTATGTTAAATTAAAACCGAGTCTTAACGAAAAGAAAAGAAGAAAATAACGCTTAATAATTGATATTTTTGAGTTTATTATCTATTCCCTTAATAGATTAAATAAAATTACTAAAAATAAGAAATAAAAACTAAAATATTTAGTTTAAAATACAAATAACTACTTATGAACGGCGTCGTTTTTACTGAATATTTTTTCGGTATTTATCGGTAGTAATTACCTCCTCTTGTATGTTCGTTCTATTTTTGTTTACTGGTTAGTTTAAGCTTTTAACTAGCACAAATATCTTTTATTTTTCATTAAAATATACTTAACTATTTTAAAAAAAATGCAACTTTTATAATTATTGTAATTTGTTTATATTTTCAAAATTAGTGTTTTATTAAAAAGCCTCTTTACAAGCTAATCCCGGAACTAACTTTACTTTTATGTAAATAAACATTACTTTTTTATTTAATAATGCATTTCAAACTTTATTTTCCAATTTATTTTGAAAAATATTTTTGTGTAATTTCTGATAATACATATATTTTTCTTTGTCAGATATTTTAATAAAAATGGCAAGAAAAAGCATCCCAAAGGGCCTAGCATACGGTGGAATTTTGATAAGGCTTATCAAAATTCCACGGTATGCTGTTGAGTTGATCAGGGGTGATGTATCTTCCAATCTTGGATCCAGCCTTGCCAATGCATTGCTCTTGGATTTGACGGCTATGGGCCTTCTTATCCCCAATATTAATATAAAAAGATATTTATATAGATAAATGTAAAATTGATAGAGCAAAGGCTAAAGTGATAACAAATGTCCATCAAAAGCCAGATGAAAAGTTGGAAAATCTTTGTATTGGAGTTGATGGGAGAACTGACAAAGACACACTAATGTACAAGGAAATAGTGGAGAGAAAACTGAAAAAAAAATCCAAGAGACCAGAACACCACTTGACTGTCACAAAGATGACATATAAAAGTGAATATCTGACACATAGGGTTCTTCCTAATCTTGATGCAACTGGTGTGGTTCTTGCCGAGCAAGTGGCTGATGTTTTGCATGAATTCAACAGTGAGCACTATCAAGGCTATCCTTGTTGACAAACACTAATGCTAATTCAGGCTGTGAAGTTGGATTTGCTGCACCTCTAGAAAGAAAACTTAACAGAAATCTTCACGCTATTGGTTGCTCCTTGCACCAAAATAAACTTCCATTTAGAGCTCTTTTTAAACATAGATGGTAACACAAAAAAGCCCTGCCACATTCAATGGTCCGCTGGGTACATTACGTGCAAATGATTACCATAATTTACCCCAAATATCATTTTCAGCTGTTGGCAGTCCTCTGAATCTATTTTTAAAATTGAAAATGCAGATATCCTTAGTTGTGACAAGACTCCTTTATGAATATACAGTGGGTATTTCTAGTAAGGTGGACTCTAGATTTGTATTATGGAAAATTGGTCCATTAAACCAGGCAAGGTGGTTAACTTAAGGCATCAGTCTGATGTTTTTATGGACTCATGGTGCATACCCACAAATTATTTCAACCAAACTCCACAGTTTAATAAATTTTATTGTGAATATGTATGCCATTTGCTGGTTCGAAAATAAAAGAAATAACAAGTTCCACAATCAGCAAAAGTATATTTTCAATATGTTCCAAAGGATTAGGAAGCAACCATATGAAATCCAACAGATCACATTGAAAAATATACAATACAATTCTTTTGCTTTACTGCCTGAAAATATCTTATATTATTCAATGGTCAAATCTGATGAACTGGAAGTGAGGGAAGAAGCTATAAAAAGAATTTTGGCCATTAGGTTAGTAAATATTTATTCATATAAAACTGACTAAATTAGTTATGCCGATTTATGGAATCATTTTAAGGACTTTATCTAATTTCATTATAAATATTAAAGCTGTACAGAGTGCATTTTTTTAAAAATAAATCAAATTAATTTTTATATTCTTTCAAAGAGTGGGGAGCAAACCAAGAAAAGATTAAAAAGAATCACAACTAACAATTTTAAAGCTATGCATTGGACACAGTTAAAAGATCTGTCATTAAGTGGATTTTGTGAACCACCACTCACAGAAGAATTTTCTGAAAATGAACTTCGGGAATAATTATTAAATGGTACGAAGCTTGACTTGCCAGATTTGCCCTCACATTCTCGGGCAGTCAAGTTAACAACAGAAGTTTCCCAATCTCTATGGCTTTGAAGCAAGGCACCAGCACATAATAGCAAAAGCTTTGTGTCAGAAATTGAGACCATCAATTTCATCCAAGGGCTCTTATATGGAGCTATTTGACTCTATATATTAAGCTAGGTACCTCCACGAAATCGCTAAATAAAGAGCATAGCGTGATGAAAAAGACGCCAACCTTGCTGAAAACAATTTTATTGTCTAAATGCTTATGTTATTATTAAGAGGAAAGACCAAAGTTTTTTTTTAATTATTTTTAAAAAAAATTTTCCTTCTTTTTAGGACATTCTAAATTTTGATTAAAAAAACCTTGTTTCTATTTGTATCAGCGGAACTAGTAAATAACATAGACAATTTTTAGCATGTTTTTTTGGTATGACACATTAATTTGAAAAATCGTGCAAAAATAGAAATAATTGTTGGATGTTAATGAAACTTTCAGGAACTATTCACAGATGATCGAAATTATTATAAATATGTTGTTTTTTTTTTATTAAAGTTATGGTAGAAATATTTTTTTTAAATATTACCCCCCCCAACTAATTTTTATGAAAACGCTAGAAATTCGGTCACATCAGGTTTAGTGATTACAATAATTAAAAGCACAGGGTTTTGAGGAATGCAACTCATGTTTTTTTTGTTTTTAATTAGGATCCGCAGTACCTGAAAATCAGCTCTGAATTGTAACATACAAAACTCAATAAAACAATGATATTATTTAATTTCAAATGCTTTTATTTGCTTTTAGTTGTTTTTTATGAATATGGACAATATTTTCTGAAAGCAAAAAATTTTTTTTTGATGAAAAATGAATTTTAATACACTTATTTGTTATTTCTTTAATTATAATAGATTTTACATTTAAGTTGTTAAAATATTATAAAATTAGTTAAAAAGCCGATCGGCTTTCCTAAGTGTCCTTATGAGATAGATCTTTTTTTAGCGTTGTAAATTGTATCATTTTGACTAATCAGAAGATCCAGTAATTAAGAAATGTAATTTTGTGCTTATAACGGGCTGTAATTATAAAGTACGGAAGACCAACCAGAATATAATTAAGTTGCGTTTATTTGAGTTAAGCATTGTTCTCCGCTGTTAAGGCCTTTTACTTTTGAGAAACACGTGTGGAGAAGTTAATTTGATTTTTCAATTTCAACTGAGAAGGGTACCTACAAGTATCAGTATCATCTTATGAAATTTATATGATCTTATTTTTATATTAATCTCAGTTATGACATTTTTCCATAAATGAAATATCAAAATTAATAATAAAATGAATGCAAATACAAATAACAGTAAAATTTAATAAATGTACATAAAATTATTGTATTTTATGTACAGTTCTTATAAAATTTCATAAGAAAGGTACTTATAAATTAATTAGATACCTTTCTTAGGAAATATGAAATTTAATGTCACTCTTAACAGTCTTATTTTAATTTCTTTAGAATATATTTTCCATAAAGCATCATAAATGTAAAGGTGAAAGCTAAGTACAAAAAAAAAAAATTAGACCGCTGAAGGTTTTCGTTAAAAATAATGGGGTAAATAATTTGTTCACTTAAATGTAAATTATTTCACTTTTCTCCTTCCGTAGAACAAATTAGCCTCATGGAATTCGTAAATATGTCATTCATCACCTGTCAAGAGACACAAAAGTTTATGACCTGCTTTGTTTTATTTTCAAATTACATCTTTTTGGCACAAAAGCTAAGTTAAGTTTGGTTCAAAATATTTTAAATAAACATTATAATTTCTGATTTTCTTAAAATAAGTTTTGAAAAAATGATAATTGATATGTAAAAGAATTTCAAAGTGAGATTTCCAGTTTTTTTTTTTTAAATGGAAAAAAAATGGTCAATTTTGCTGACTCAAAAAAAACTAGATTTTTAACAAAAATTTTGGATGTGCTAGGAACAATTAAAAAATGTAAAAAAATACCCCCAAAATACTTTGATCTTTCCTTTTAATAATAACAAACATTTAGACGATAAAATTTTATTTTCGTCAAGTTTGGCGTCTTTTTCATCATGCTATACTCTTTTTTTTAGCGATCTCGTGGAGGTACCTATAAGCCCTATTAAACTATTCTTTATTTTTCCATATTTATTTGTTTGTTGTATTTTCATTCAAAACAGGAAAAATCAATTCTTTAATGTATTCAACTAATACTGCTTAATTCATGAGGTAAAAAACAGCATTTCAAAGTCGTCAGTGATTATGGGGGGGGGGCACATATTCAATTTGCAGTTTACTTGTAATTTCTACATTTTATTTCATTTTGATAAAGCAAAATAACAACATTCCCTGATTTAAATAGTGAAATTGTTTGTTTTTTTGGGTGTTTTTTATCAATATTTAGTCCAAATCTTGCAAAATCGTGAATTTTTCAGTGCATTTTTGTCTACGATCTTTGATGCCAAATGCTCAAAAAACCATTGAAGTGACAGATCTAATTTTTTGTATCAGTACTTAATAGGTCTATACACAACTTTCGGTACATTATTCTTTTTTATATTTAAAAAAAGTGAAAAATCAACCTACCCTAATGCACACTCATCCCATGTTAAGTAACTTGTTTAGAAAACAAGTTTGCTAAACTACATCTATGGTCTTTTGTTAATTCTGAACTACTAGGCATTCAGCATGTCATTATATAAATGTTTCTATTTCAAATGTAAACTTCATCAAACTTGTAAAATTAAGTGTATTTTCCCAGACTGTTTTCTTTTCTTTTTTTTTTTTTTTTTTTTTTTTTTTAATTTATTTTTATATCTGGATTTAATGCATCTCGGAAGTTTCTAAGAGAGTTTTAGTAATGATTTGTTTTTCAGTATTACAAACAAGGAGATCTTTTTATCATTTATATTTTCTGTTTAGATAATTCTTTAGTGTATTTTGCGATAATGAACAAAAATATTTAGATAGCTACTCTAGCCCTCTCCTTAACAACTCAGTTGATACAAAATAATACTGTCCATGTTGTTGTCTCCTTCCACTTGTCAGTTCTGAACTATAAATCCTTTGTTTTTAGCCCTAGAGTGTGAAGAAGCACTCTTTCGTGGATATTCCATTGGAGCCCCAATTGGTAAAAACCTATTTTTGATATTTTTTGTGTTGTCTTTCAAATATTTGAAAGGGTGAGCTTTTTATAACAAAAATTATAAACAAAAATACTGCAAATTGACCAGAAAAGGTTTGTTCTATTGCTTGAGAAAAATGCAACTTGTTGATAGGATTAAGCCTTTTCATTGGTTAATGCATGTACAGGCTAACCTTGTGTAGCAAGTGGTGTTGTCAAGTGGGCTGAACAGAAAATAAAGGGCATGCTTACATCTTTATTTATTTATATATATATATATATATATATATATATATATATATATATAATAGAAACTGAGATTTTTCCCCCTCCTAGGTTTTATTCAACAAAGAACATGGTAAAACAAATGGCAACAATCAATATAACTTTTTACATGAGGAAGTGACAGTGTATACAGTTTTCGTGGCCATGATGTTAGTAAGCTTATACTAAATAGCCAATGATGGCATTGCATTACAGTAAAGTGCATCACAGCTAATAAACAAAATTACCATATACACAGTTTTAATTTCACCTGTGGAAGTAATACCAGCATTTAAGGATATAGTTATTAAATAATATATTATAGGAAGTTTGATAGGAAAATAGGAACTTGTAAAATTGTAAATGCAGAAATTATTAAAATCAACATTTTTTTGTTTCAGCCTAAATTACTGAGCAAGCATCTATGACTTTTGGTAAATGTTTCACAAATCTGAAATAAATTTGCCTCAGGTCCAGTTAAATTTAATATTCTCAATTTATAATGACCAAGAAAGAAAAAAATTAATTTTAATCAGATTTTTATTCTAGATAAGGATTCTTAATTCAATGTATTTACCTTAATGAATTTATTGATATTATTATTACTCTTTACTGTTGGTTTTTTTTTTTTTTTTTTTTTCACATGCATTCATTTTTCATAAGTCACTTCGAATTTGAAAGTGGTTCATATGTATGATTATAATAATGAGGAGTGCTCTTCATATATTCTTTTTAGGTGGGCACTGCTGTAAAAAAAAAACCAATGTTAGCAAGCTAATCTAACGAGTTATTGCTAGTGAATTTGACCTACACTGGGTGTCCCACAGCTTTGTGCCTGACTAAAGTAAGCTTGTTAAATATTTATTTGTTTTAGGTTGAAGTAATAAAAATGTGTATTAAAAAAAGTTTAAAAATATATTGTTATAAGTGAGGCAATAAAGTAAAATATTGTCTTATTCAACATGTGTTTTAGTTACTAAAGCAGAACTAATTGTTTATTTCTCTGCATTTTCTCATGTACAGAGATAAATGAAACTGTTGAGTTGATGTTAAACCTTTAATTATTTTAATTAAATTATCAGTAGCTATTTTCTACTCTTGTAATATATGTACGAATTAACTCAAAAGGCAAGGTAATTATTTTTTTACAAACTTATGACATATTTCACAATTTTTTATCTATGAAATAGATCAGTTGAACATAATAAAATAATTTTTTGAATAACAGATATATATCTTGAAATTAAAACTATATCATTAAAGTTTTTTTTAAATGTTTGTCACTATCATAAAACCTCAGAGGCATTCAATCGTTACTTAAAGTTGTATTGTTTTTACATACAATATACTAATTCATATTTTAATATTTAAGTATAATCTTTAAAAATTCCTGACTTCATTCAAATCAAGACTATACTTTCAACCCTTGTATAATTTTTTTTAATCTCTGCTTCTAATTTACATGTACATATGTTGTTGCAAATGTACTTTTATAGAACATGCAAAAAGAAAAATTAATTACCGATTATATTATTGACTTTATTTTCTGTTCATTTATCCTTATGTAGTTAAGGATTGCACTGCCAATTGTCTGTCTATCTGTTGGTTATCTCATTCCTCTTTATTTTTCATCCTCTTATCACTGTCACACTACTGGGTTTTCTTTGGCTTTGTGCTAGCCACTGTCACTGATATCAATGTTGCAAGCAAAAATCTTATATGTTATGGTCTAGAAATTGTACTCCTAAATCTTGAAATAACTTAATATTTATTTTCTCAGTTCCTAAATAGGCTAGTTAATCTTAATGGAATAGGTTTTCTTATCTCCATCTTGCAACTACATTTGTTGATTCCAATCTGCTTTTTGCTTTCTTTTTTCCCTCTTTTTGGTAAAAACAAGTCTGTCTGAAAACTTCAAATTATCTGTTTGAAAGAAATGTTATTTTGTCTTAATTAGAAAGAATATCAGTAAATTATTATGTAAGAACTAAAATTAAGTTAATTTTTCTTTACACAATTTAGTACCAGTATAACTTTTAATTTATTTGTCATAAATAGTTTGGATTTTCCCTTAAATGTATTAAAGTAAATATCTTTTTTGGCTATTTTTAATTTGCCTTGATTTATCCCATACTTCTTTTTTAGGGTTAGGCTTTTTTCATTTTTGATTTGCATTGGTGGATATTGATTCAAAAATTAATCAAAGATTTCTTTAAATTCTTTCTAATCAAAGTTTTTATATACTATTGACTCAGAGAGCCATTCAAGGTAGAGGGTTACTTAATGAGATTGTTGTGGAAAAGTAAGAATTGCATATTATGAGGATGTATCAAACAGATAACAGTTAATCCTTGACTTAAAGTGTTTAAGATTGTATTAATCAAGGAAGTCTTTTCTCAGGAGTATCTTCCAAAAACCATCAGTTCTTGGAAAGAATCTGACTGAATGGAACTTCCTCCTTACCAATGAAGAGAATGATTCAACCCTGTGGGATGTAAACTGGAGAAACTAAAGAATTTGAATAATAATTATTTGAATTTTAATTAACCTAATGAATTATTAGGTCTTTATTTCATGTTCCACTCTTTATCTAATGAAATATGAAGTAATATTGGTTTAGCACAAAAGTTTGTTCCTCCCTCAAACCCCACCTGTTGGATAACATCCGGGCTGTAGAGTCGGAAGCAATTAAGGGAATCTGGAGTTGGACTAGGTAAAACAATTCCAACTCACTCCAGTTGAATTTACACTTTATATAAAAAGCCTTACATTATAGTATTTTTTATTGTTATTTCTTCTATATCCTTTCAAAGATTTTGTCTCTAATTCTGCTAGAAAATATTGAAGAATGAATAGGTATGATATAAAAGCCTCTATATCTTTATTCTTTGATATAAATCAGTTATAATGATATAGGCCTACTCAAGTTAGGAGCATATACATAGGCTTTATGAGATTTGTAGGCCATAATCACTTAATTACATAAAGAGGAGTCAGAGGTGCCACAAATCAAGGAGATTTTGTGTTCTAACTCCACAGCCCTGGATAGCATTAAGGATTTTAACTAATTTAATTCAAAGCTATACTGTGATTTACTTGGACTCATCTTAGATACATGTCAGCTGTTGTAACCTTTAACCTTCTTAAGTGCCTATCATTGTTGGTAACCCTTTATTTGATCCACAGGGTTAGATTGTTCCCATTCCACTATGCCTGCTAGAGGATATCTTGTATCAGTTAATTCTTCCTTCTGATGTCACTTATCTCTTTCACTGAATCAGAGTATAGTTATTTTTTTTTTTTTTGCATTACCCAAGCCAATAACCATCAATAACTTGATCTGCTTAGCCAATGCCTTTTATCCATTAGGCTGTGTGCTAAAAAATAAGTTGGAAATTTTATAAAAATTATCAAGAGATCCTATTTTCATGTTCCTTCACTGAGTGACATAGCAATTTATTGGTAGGCATTTTATTTCTTGATATCAAAGAATAGAATGTGAAAGATTTTTCTGCAACACAAAATCTTTAATGCTCAAATCTTATATGTTAATAAAGTGATTTTTAATAAAGTGACTTTGTTTATATGTTATTATGCTTAAATTATTTTTTGGAAATTACAATACTATGTTATAAATTATAGACATCAAACAAAATGGGGATACTTACTTTGAAATATTAGTTTACTGAAATACCTCTCAAAGGTCTTCATCCCAACACGCAGTCAGTCCACTGCAGAATTTTAAAAAAAATAAAATAATGTTTCATCATTATTGATCCCATGTCTAGGCATGCTCATAGAGTCACTACACAGCTGAGCACCTGGCCTTCTCCCTCGATATGTCTTGATTGTATGCTAGTGTTTGAGTCTCTGTAAATGATCTTCCAGTTCACTCAATGAGAATGTTAGTCCTTGTTTTCTTCTAGTCTGTGTCCTGTTCTTTTGCCTAAGGTGGAACATATTGTCCCTATAATCTGAACTTCATTCATTTCTTTTTGATGGTGGATATAAGGTCTTCCAAATAGGCCTGTTTCTTGACTGATGTCATTTCACACTGCATCAGTTATGTGGTCTATATGGGAGATGCCTATGATGGTTCTGTAGCATCTCCATGTTTAGACTTTGATATTAATTTCTTAGTGGATATATCATGCATTTTGTTTGTTATATATAGAAGTTTAGCCAGTAGAATTACTATAGACATTATAGATTTTATTTTAGTTTGTCAGTTTCTTATTTCCTCTTGTTCATGTAGAAAATGAAGTGTATTATCTCCTACCTCAGCCCGTGCATGTTCATTAAAGAAAAAAACAACTACAAAATAGAAATAAGTTATTGTTTTACAAATATACAAGGCAAATTTTGTATTTTGAAAAAATAAAAATTTATTTTTTATGTTTAGATATTTTTTAACCATTGCTGAAATAACAAATAGTTACTAAAATTAATTTAAAAAAAAAACATGTTAGATATTTTATGTACTTGTTTAACAGAATTTTGTGACCCCCCCCTCCTCCATACCCCATGTTGTGGTTACATTTTACTTAAAGTTTTATATTGTCAGGAGCTGATGCCTTAGTTTATGCAAAATTGCAAAAAATGTTTCTGTTTGTTTCTTTCTGTTTTTCTTGCAGTATAGCTCAGTTTTATTTTTATGCATTATAATTAATTCTTATAGTTTTTTTTTATTTATT